CATTTTAACCATTTTTAAGGGTACAATTCAGTGGCATTAATTACACTCACAGTGTTGAGTGCACAGTTAACCATCACCACTATCTATTTCCAGAACTTTTCATTATCCCAAACAGAAACTCTGTTCTCATTAAACAAAACCTCCTCATTCCCCATTCCTCCCTCCTTCCAGCTCCTAGCAACCGCCAGGGACATCTTTTCATGTGCTTATTGGCCGTTTGTATATCTTCTCTGGAGAAATGTCTATTCAAGTCCTTGGCCCATTTTTGAATGGGGTTGTTTTTCCTTGTTGAGTGGCAAGAATTCTGGATATTAACTTTTTATCAGATCTATGACATGCATGTTTCCCCACTATGTGGGTTGTCTTCCTTTTAGGTCTAGGATGCAAGCGAGCTGGTTTGCCAAATTAACTCAATCTGGAGTGGAACATCGTTTCCCATTTCATTCTGCTTCCTTTAACTAAATGAGAAAGATGCTTGGTCAGCCAATGAATGAACATGCATAGAGTTAAGCACTTACCTGGGTGGAATCAAAGTCTCAAGGAAGAAAGGAATGTTCTTTGAAAACAATCTGAAGTCAGTCACAATAGTGATGAACAGATTCATCAGGCTTTGTGTGAAAGCCTGAATTTTATTCCAATCCACAGGCTTTGGAAAAGCTACAGTAATTTTGCTCAGTGGAGATTTCCAGCGAGTGTTCTAGCATTTTGTCCAAAGTTAGGGGTCTGTTTATCTAAATACCTTTCAGGTGCCTCCACTGAGCTAGTTTCATCCAGTGCTTGTACTGGCTGGCCCTCACCAACAAGCATGTGGACAAACTGGTAGAAATCTGAGAAATCAGGTCAAACCATTTAGTTAGAAACGCACATGAGGAAGGACTAGTTTTTAAACATAAAACACACTGGGGTCCCTGAAGAAGGCGGTGGGTGGGGCTTCGTCAAAGCATTCTGATGATTGGGATCTGATTGCTTAGAGGGTTTTTGCTAGAGGAAAAAAAAATTCCTCAACAGCGCGGCTTCCATAGAACAACCTAGTTCCAAAGGATACGGACCAAAGGCCAAACGAGTACTCTCAGAAAGGACAAAACCTTAAAACAGATCCTGAATAAAGCCTGCGGGGCTCAAAACATTTAGAAAGCAGGTGTGAAATCCAGGAGAAAATTCACCCTCAAACTCCGGAGTCTGCGAGGAAGCAGTGAGCTCCATTGGCTCTGTGGCTACGAGCACCTGTTTGCCCACCGGCCTCAGCGCTGTCTGGGGTCTTCTCTGGGTCTTCTACTTCTGATTACCAAGTAGTGTTTCCCTTCAAAATAAAACTGTCGGTTATTTTGCCAACAAATGTGGGTTCATCTGTGAATGGCAGACAATCGCTACTCAGCATAAGCAAGCTACACCAAACCAGACGCCTGCAGGAACGCTCTTTTATACAGGAAAGGGAGCAGTTGGGCGGGGCTCTTGAAAACAAAAAGTCCATTGGAGTAAACTGGGAGGTCCAAGAGCCGTGGTTTCTCATTGGCTGAGTTTGACACTCTCTCATTGGCTGAGCTGTTGCCAGGGGACGAGGAAACCCTTCCTGCCCCCCTGCCTGGTATTAGGAATTTGCAAGATCCCTCCCTTCCTGCAGTTGAAGAGCTGTAGGAGAGAAAGCCCCCTACTACTGCTAGGCTACCAAAGGCTAGCTCCCCATGCTAGCCTCCCAACTCCACATTAGTGTGATTTGCCTTTATTAATTTATGAGTAATCCTGATGTGCTACTGAGCCCTGATAGAAATGGAACATCAGAACACAGGGCTTCACATGACATGCAGCCAGCATGACCTATCATGAATTCATTTTGTCGGAACTTCCAAGTATTTTAGGGTGGGTGGATCCAACAGTGATCCATCAGAAGATGCATCTGGAATCAGGCATAAGCAGGGCCAGAGAACACAAATAAGCTGCATAAGCAGGTGGGCTGGACACTGTTGACCCAACACCTGTCCCTCAGCTGACACTTATAACTATGTTGGGCAGGGCTGGAGTTGGGAGGAGTTCCTTATAATTAACTGAAAGAAGAAAAAGGAAGACAGCTGAGCAGTATTTTTACTCATTTAGCTCTTTGTTAAAGAATTTTGGAGCATATACAAAAGTAGAATATGATGAGCCTGAATGCAATGGTGTATTTTTTCCCTACATATATGTATAACAGTAACAATATTATATACCCAGCAGTCCTACTAGTATAACTTCATTCAGGTACCTGGACCCAATTCCAATGTGTGTAAGCATGTGGGAGGGGGTCTTCCAACCCATACTGACACCAAGCAATTATTAAACACCAGCAGGGTGTCTGAGAACTCAATTCTCATGCTATCTGCCTGGAGACAGCACCAGGCCCACCAGGTTAAGGGCTCCGTCCTACAAGACCATCCTCCACTCCCCAGTCAAGACACTGGTCGCAAGCCCCAGGCAGTTAGTTCCCTGTGCTTCTAACCTACTGGCTACAGACTAGACGTTCCCACGACCTCCCCCTTAGGTCTGATTGATTTGCTAGAGCAGCTCACAGACCTCAGGAAAACACATTTACCAGTTTAATAAAGGAGACAAGTTAACAGCCAGATGAAGAGAGACACACACAGGCCAAGGTCCCAAATACAGGAGCTTCTATCCTTGTGGAGCTTGGAGCCTGGCTCGGTGGCACATGGAGGCGGGTCTGGTTCCCCAAGCATGGAAGCTCTCCCCGACCAAGAAGCGGGATCCGACAGGGCAGAGCAGGTACAGGAGAGAAGACAGAGAAAGCGAGCTCTTCTCAGGGGGTTTGTGAACGCTTCACTGCATAGTCATGATTGACTTAATAATTGGCCATTGGCTCAGTCAGTCTCCAGCCCCCACCCTTGGTTGGGAGTCCAAAAATCTCTCATTAACATGATAAAATACCTGTTTCACCTTTAAGACTGCAGCGTTTTCAGGAACCGTGGATGAAAACCAAATATACCTGGGAAATACATATTTGGCCATATGCATGACCAAATTATGTATTTCTTATAATTGATTTTATCACAGCTGCCATTACAAAATACCACAAACAGGGTGGCTTAGACAATGGAATTTTATTCTCTCACAGAAAGAGGTAGTTTTGGTAGGAGGTGAAGCAGGGCATTGTGTGTTTTTTATCGCCGCATGACAAATTACCCCAAACTTAGGTGCTTGAAACACACATTGGTTATCTCACAATTTCTATAGGTCAGAAGTCCAGGGGGAATTTATTTCAATTCTATTTCAGGGTTTTCCCAGACTGCAATCCCCCTGTTGTCCAGGGCTGCGGTTTCATCAGAGGCTCTGCTGCAGAAAGAGCCACTTCCAAGCTCCTTCAGACCGTTGGTGGGATTCATTTTCTTGGCTGTGTGAGTGAGGGCACCAGAGCTTTCCTGGCTGTTGGCTGGAGGTGGGCCTCAAACCCTACAGGTCCCCCACAGTTCCCTGCTAAAGCAGCTTTCTCACCATGGCTGCAGGCCCGCAGGAAGAATCTCTCTGACTCTTATCTGCTAAAATGAAGTCTAATTAAGGGAGTGGCATGTCCTTACCTTTGCCATGTTCTGGTGGTTGGAAGCAAACCACCAATCCAGCCTAGTCTCTAGGGGGTTACACAAAGGTATGATCACCAACAGGCGTGGAAACTGTTGGGGGTCACCTCAGGCTCTGTACGCCATAAGGATGGATTTGGCAATGGGATTTGAAAACGGAACGAGGTTAGGAATTATGGGGTTGAGGCTGATGTGTTTGGAGTTTGTATTAATTTTCTATTGTTGCAGAAAAAGAAACCCCAAACACAAAACACAAAATCTTAAGACATTATCTCAGTCTCTGAAAGTCAGGAACTCTGTGAGTCAGGAGTCTGGCTCAAGGTCCCCCATGAGGTGACTGTCAAGACATCAGCTAGGCTGCAGCCACAGAGGACTTGACTGGAGGTGGACCATGTGCTTTCACCACGGTTCTCTCGCATCTTCCTCGCTGACTGTTGGCGAGAGGCCTCAGCTCTTCACCCCGTGGGCCCTCCACAAGCGGCTTGAGTGTCCTCAGGACATCGGGGCTGGCTACCCCCAGAGTGAGCGACTCAGCGGACAAAAAGGAAACCAGAACGCCCTTCATGTCCTTGTCACTTCTACTATATTCTTTTATTTTTTTTAAATTATTTTAATTTTATTATTAATTTTATTTTTATTTTTTATTTTTTTATTTTGGTATCTACTATATTCTTTTAGTTAGAAAGAAAGTCATTAAGTCTAGTCCACATTCAAGGGGACGGGAAATAAGTTACACATTTTGGAGGGAGGGGTGCCGGCGTACTTGCGGACAATTTTTGAAACCACTTGACTTGGTGGGTTGGGAGTGGAGGTTGGGCTGAAGTTAAGGTCTTTGGGATTTTGATGCTGTTGTTGGGCTGGGGTTAGACTTGAGTTGGTGGAAGCAACAGGGCTTGGGTACTGGAGTCTGGGAATCACGGCCATGGTGTGTCAGACGATTGGGGATTTTGGTGTGGTTTCCTAGGGCTGGTGTTGACATGACTGCAGTTGAGTTGATGGGGGGTTAGTGGTAGTGGGGATGAGCTGGGGGTGTGAAGTCCTAAGGATGGGTTGAGTTTATGTTTGGATTATGGTGGGCGTTGGGAGTTTTGAGGGGGTTGGATGTTTTTGTGTTGGTCACATGGTTCAAACTGTGGGTTACCGTTCAGTGTAGTAGGGACTGGTGGCGATCTTTAAGTTTGGGGTGGGCAGCTGGTGTTGGGGCAGCAGGAACGGGCTAGGGAGAGTTTGTGGGGTTGTCTGACTGGAACTGACCTTGGATGGGGTTTGGTGTGACTGGAACTAGGGATGCAGTAAACTGGGCAGGTGTTGGGGGTTGCAGCTGAAGTTACAATGGTAACTGGGAATTGGGCCTGGGGGTGGATGGGAACTTTTCTCCTCTACCCTGATCCTCACCTCTCCCACCCCTGTTCAGCCCAAGAGCACAGCAGATGACACACACCCAGCTCACACATCTTTATTGGGCCAGATGTGGGGTTTCCAAACCCAAACAGGTTGCCTCTGACCCATACTAGCCCTGCCACGGAGACCCTCCCCCTGCTTCCTGGGGAGACCAGCTCCCCACCGGAAGGGGTCAAAAGTTGGCAGGTGTCATTGGTGCCTTAGAGCTCCTAGTGTGGCCGGGGAGAGAGCTACACCTGTGCCCCGAGTCCTCCTCCCCTAACGCTCTGCACGGTCGCCTAAGACGCCGCCCCTCCTGGAACAGGGAGGCCACGTCCAACAGTGCATCCTCGATGTGCTGCCCCAGCCGGTGGGAGTCCTGGAAGGAGAGATGCGTCACATCTAGGGGAAGCTGGGAGAGGGGCTCCTGGGGGCCGAGAAACAATAGGGCTGGGGTCCCTGACTCCTGGGTCTGAGGGAGGAGGTGGCGGGGGGCCGGGACTCCTGGATGATGGGGCAGCAGGGAGCTGGGAGTCTAGAGTCCTGGGCTGCAGGAGAGGAGGAGGCAAGGGTGCGTGTTCAAGTCTGTCTCACCGTTTTTGTGCTTGATTTTTTGCTGGAGATGTGGAAGGTGATCGTTTCCTCCCCCATGAAGATGTAAGAAACACCATAACCATGGTCATCGGCCTGGAGAGGGGCAGAGCAAAGGGAACAGAATAGCCACCCCCATCCCGCCTCCCCCACTCCCCCCAGCAGTGCAAAACCCCCAGCCCTCTCCTCCCTCAAGGCCCAGGATGCAGGGAGCTGGGGTTGGGCCTGGTTCCACTCACAGGCCCAAATCCACCACCGGAGGAAACGTAGTCGGGGTAATTGTGCACATCGAACAGGTGGATTTGCTGAACAGGGATCTGGCTGGTGGCCAGCAGCCACTGCTCCGAGTGAACCTGAAGTACAGGAGGCGGCCACGCGTGCGGTCAAGATCCACAGACCCGCAGGTCCCCGCCCCCTCGGCTCAACCCCACTCCCTGCAGCCCTGGCCCTTCCTGGCCTCCTGCCATGACTGCCTGTCTCCCCTAAATCTGAAGCCCCGCCCACGGCCTCTTCTTTTACGACCACACCCCTCTCCCTTTCTCCCCATACTCGCCCTTCCAGGTCAGTCTCCTCCCCGACGGCGCCCACCTCCCTCCTCCTGTCCGACCCCCCCCACCCCGTCCCTAACCCCGCCCCTCTCCCCGCGTTCTCGCTGTGACCACGCCCCTCAGCCCTTCTCTGCGCTTTTTACTTCTGCGCTCTGTCGCTGTCTCTTGCCCGGTCTCCCCAACTGTCCTCTGCTGATACCTCCTTTCTCCAACATCACCCGCCTTGCCCCCAGGTGTCTCCCCTCTTCCGTGGCTCCCCCTTTCCTTCGCTAACCCTCTCTCTATCCCCAACCTGGTCCAGAAAAGGCGAGTGCAGGTGGAGGAAATGGGACACCACGTAGAGCGCAAAGAGGTGGCGGTCGACCCCCTGTCCGCTCATCGCTGCCCTCAGCAGAGCCTGGTGCTTATCCACAGCCACGCGGAACAGGGCGAGGCACTGTGGATCCTGGGGTCCCCGGGGAGGGCACAGGTCATGGAAAGACAAGAAGTGGGTTTACTGCTGGGGCCTGTCCTCAACCCAGCTTGCAGCATCCCTGTGAGGCAGACATCAACTCTATTTTTCAGAGGGAAACAGGCTCAGAGAGGGGAAGTCACTTGCCCAGGGTCACACAGCAAGGCCAACTTAGGTAGATTCCCAGGTCTGTCTGAATCTGGGGCCCAAACTCCTCCCTTTGAACCACAGTAGGTAGAGGGGGGAGGAAACAAACGTACCTGGGGGGTTCTGAGCAGAGAGGTTACAGGGGGACATGAGGAATCGTGCAAATGGAAGTCACAAGGTCACGCAGAGGTTAAGTAATCAGAAAGCTATACTGTGGAACCAGGGCTCCTTCTTGGGCGTTCCCCGAGTGCCCTGTGTGAGCCCCATTAAAGCATGTATTGCACTATGCTGAACGATCTGTCTCCCCCATCCACGAGCTCCTTCCGTCAGAGACCAGGCCTGGTTCCTCCACTGTCTCTAAGGTCCAACACAAGCCTGGCCCATAAATGTTTGCAAATGTATGAGTGAGTATGTGGATATGACCAAAGCCTCCAACGAGGCCCACACCCACTGTCTTCTCTTTGTCCTCCATGGCTCTCACAAAGTTGCAGGCCTCCCTCGTGCAAGATCGCACCATCTCCGTCCGGCCTTCCAGGAACAAGCGAGTCGTGGTCGACTCGTAAGTCACGCAGAATTGACCCCTGTCCTGGGGGACAAGGAGGAAAGGAGCCGATCAGCTGGGCTCAGCAAGCCTTCACAGACGTGACCCACCTCTGTCCGGACCTCCAGCCTCCTCCTGCCCAAGAAGGTGTGGTTGGAAGAGAGAAATCAAGATGGCTGACCCATAATGTCAGTGACCGAAAAGAGTCATTAAAGGGGTTGATTAGGCGAGTCTTGGGGGCCCAGGGAAACTGAGTTCCTGAGAGGGGGCTGCGGTCAGGGAACCCAACTGACCCGGAAGTGGGCCAGCTGCAAGGCCATCTGGATGAAGCTGTCTGAAGAGAGGTGGTGGTGTTTGATGAAGCTCTTGCCAAAGTGGGAGAAGGGGAAGACGTGGCAGTCGATGTTTCCGGACAAGGTCTTGGCTCCTCTCAGGGCTAGAGCAATGGACAGATGGATCTGCCGGAGGAGGAGGGAAGAAGGCATGGCTGGGGTTATCCTCCGGAAGAAGGCATGGCTGGGGTTACAGCTGGGGTAGGGTCAGCGTTGGGAATGGGGCCAGGCACGAGAAATGAACTGGAGTGGGGGATCGGGGAGGTTTCAGATGGGATCCGTGTTGGAGGTAGGGCTGAATTTAGGTATGGTGATGGTGTTGGGATGGATATAAGTTCAGGGTGGGGTCGGGGTATGAGTTGGGGTAGGACTGGATTGAAGCTGGGAGCGAGACGGGGTGGGGTTGAGGATGGGATCAGTGGTACAGATAGGGTTAGATTTGGGGTCAGGATGGGGTTGACTTTGAAATTGAGATTGGGGGTGGAGGTGAGTTTAGAGGCAAAGCCAGGAAGCTGGGGACTTGGAGGACCTGGAAACCCAACCTCACCTTGTCTGGCAGGTCCCAGTGCAGCCGCTGGGGCTGGGGCAGCGAGGGGTCAGGATGGCCCTTGCAGTGGCCATCTGCCAAGTAGCCCAGCTGGAAGCATTCTGTGGCCAGCGTGAACTGTGTGCAAGCAGGGCTGTCAGAGTCCCTCCTCTCTCTGGTCCAAGGGCCATCTAACTTGGGACCTCTTTTCCTAAGTCCCTTCTGGGGAACCAGTTTGCAAGACACAGAAATCTCTGATGTTCATAGGTGAGTCCTCAAGTTCAAGTTCATGAAGAGCAGGCCTGACACTGATTCTCACTGGGGCTTGCTGACCCAGTACTCAGAATAAAGAGCCACCAACAGCTGTCCTGGTGCTCCCAAGACCCCCCCACCTCTGCCCATGATCTGGAAGGGGACTCCCTTGCCCTTATACATGCCCGATCCCCACCTTGGTCCCCAGCCAATCCCTCATGGGGACCTGATGGGGTGCAAAAACACCACCCCCTATGATTTAGGGACTAAATGGCAGAGAAAATAGTAGTGCTGAGGTTCTCAGGACTGGGTGGGAGGTTAAAGCTGAAAGAAAATCCGACCCTTTCACTTGATGAAGAGGGAGGCTGAGATTCAGAGGAGGGGAGTAAGTTGCCTGAGGTTACTCCACAGCCAGGCCTGGAAGATTCTGATTCAGTGTGACGTGGTTGAAAGGCCTCCCCTTCCGGTCTCAAGTCATTCTGGATTCATATTCTCACTCTGCAACACCTCCTGGCTCTGCGACCTTGGGCAAATCTCTACCCTTCACTGAGTCCCACCTGCCCATTCCTTAAAGTAAGGTCATAATCCCAGACTCCCTTCTTTGCTGGTGACGCTGGTCCCGTCTCTGCCTCTCTCTGAGCTTCCATTTTTACTCTGACTCTAGGGCCCTGGAAAAGACTTTGGAAATGGGGGTGGGGTCCCCAGGGCAGGGGGTGGGCTGGATGTACTACCTCCCACATGTGTCCTGAGATGGGGCAGTCGGCCCACGAGTGCTCCACGCTGAGGCCCAGCTTCCCATTGGAGAAGATGATCAGAGTGAAGGATTTGTCAAACCAGCTGCAGGGGGAGTTCAGAGCGGTCACTGAAGAGCGGGGGCCAGGAGGGGACTCGGTGCTCAGCGTGGGGCTTGTGGGGCAATCAGGGTGAGATTTTTCTGGGAGTCGGGGCCGGTGTGGGGATCTGTAAAAGGGTGGAGGTCTCCAGCAAGTGCTTCTGGATGGTCTCTGAGACATGTCTAAGATTTGGAGAGTCGGGGGGGGTTGTGAGAATGTGCCGAGAAAGTCCAAAGCTTATGGGGTGCTGGGAGGTTAGGGGGACTCCCTCGGGGGCCTCAGAAATCAGACTGATACCTGGTAGGCCTCTAGAAAGTTGTCTGAGGTCCCAGGTCTGGGGTCCTGGGTTTGGGGTGTCTAACCACTGAGGATTCTGTGGTTCTGAGTCTGAGGTCCCCAGGCTTGGGGTTCTGGCTCTTGGGGGGTTCTCGGGGCCTAAGGGTCCAGACCTGGGGTTTGGTGGTCTTCAGAAGTGGGGTTCCAGGGTCTGGAGTCCTGGGCCTAGGGGTTATCTGGGTCAGGTCTCAAGGCATTGGGTCTGGGGTCCTCACATCAAAGGGGCCTCTGGATCTGAAGACACCCCACGTCTGGGGTCAAGAGTCTGCTGTTTTGTGGCCAGAGATCTAGGTCTGGACAGGGGGTCCTGGGGCCACAGGCTGGGGTGGGGTCCGAGTCCTGGGACTGACTCACCGGTCATGGCCCCTGCCAGCCAGCAGGGTGTGGGCGTAGGCATCCAGGGAAGCTGCAGGGTCCTCCCTGGTGAGCCCTGCCGGTTCAGAGTCCAGTGACACAAAGAAAGCTGCCCCTTCCACAGCCTCCAGGGCGTCCTCTGCCTGGGTCTTCAGGGACCTCCGCACTTGGGCCCACATGTCCCTGTCGGGTGGCATGCCTGAGCCCAGACTGGCCTTCCACTCTGACCAGCCTCCACCCAGCCCTCAACCCTGCCTTTCCACAACCTCAGCTCGCTGCCTGGCCCAAGGCCCCCTGACCTCCCAGCCTCACCTGGGCGCAGCGGTCAGGGCCGCCAGGTGCTCCTCCTGTGGGGAGGCAGGCGAAGGGTCATCCAGGATTCGCTGGAACTGCTGCTCCAGGGCCCTCGGGGAAAGCAGGCCACTTTGGGAGTGTGTCCCCACACGGAAGAATCGGCCCCGATGGAAGACGGCCACATGTCGGCTGTCACGGAGGTGGCGGATGTGGTCTGGTGGCGGAGCGGGAGGTGTGGGCAGAAGTATAGAGGGCAGGAAGGCCGGATACATTATAATAAGAATAAGGGCTATTTGTTAGGTACTTCCTAGGTGGCTTGCACTGTTCTAAACACTCATTTAATCCTCACCACCCTGTGCATCTTCATTATCCCATTTTAGAGATAAGAAAACTGAGGCTCAGAGAGGGCAATAACTTTCCCAAGGTCACACAGCTTGGGAGTGATGGAGCTGGGATCTGAGCCCAGGCAGGCTGGCTCTGGAGTACATGCTCTGAGCCACTTCACAATTCTGCCTTTGTCAGTGAGGAGGGGAAAGAGGTCTCACCTTTTCGGACCCCGGGAATGCGCGTAGTGTTAAATATCTTCTCATACTGGGCAGAGCACAAGGGCCGCATTCCCATCAGCAAAGTCTGCAGGAAACCAGGGGCTTATGAACTGCCTTCTAGGACCCACAGGGCTCCACGGCCACAGGAACACGGCCTCTGTCCCCAGCCCAGGAAGGCGGCCCTCTTACTGGCAGGATCTCCTGGCGGTTCAGGCGGTGGCGGTACAGGAGGAGGGCGTGTACCGCATTCCCGGCACGAGCAGCCTGCACCGGCGTGGGCGTGACGTACAGGAAGTCCTGGGGTCAGCCAAGGAAAGAGCAAAACACCTGAGGTCAGGTTTGCCCCTGATGGAGGCACTGACCCCAAACACTGGTCCTGACCCCAACAGAGGTGGAAAGATGATTTCCAGACTGTGTGAGTTGGGTCACTGACCCTGAACCCCACATTCTACCCTGACACCCCAACCCTAAACCCAGGGCCATGAACTTCACTCCTCCCCAGCTCTAGCCCCCTTCTTCCCTTCTTACCATCATATAATAGTTGCTGTTCACCATCAGCGAGTTCCGGGAGCGCAGGTACACAAATTCTTCCCACCAGTCACTGACCTGGGAGTGGACCAGAGAGACATAGCTGGGGTGGCTGGCACTATGGTGTATGTGGGGCTGGGGGTAGAGGCAGTTGAGGGGTGATTCCCCTCTGCCCAGACTTTGCTGTGTCAAACAGGGAGGGCAGAGCTCAATGAAGGAGGCCATCCTGAACAATAAATAACAACCTACAAGTCCATTGATAGGGGATCAGTTAGCTCAGCTGAGCTACACTCACACTGTGGAATACTATGCAGCAATTAAAAAGAACAAGGTACATATTAGCCACACAGAATGAGCACCAAGACATGCAGTAGTGTGAAAAAGCCTAGGCATACAAGGTACAGGAAGTAATCCCACCTGAGAATTAAAAAAATACTCCAGAACCCAGGTGTCTCTCAACAGATGAGTGGACAACCGAACTGTGGTCTATCCATACAATAAATATTAATACAGAAAGGAATGAAGCTCTGACACAGGTCACAACAAGGATGAACCCTGAAAACATTATGCTAAGGGAAATGGGTCAGTGGGTCAGACACAAAAGGACAGAGTGTATGAGTCCACTTACATGAAAAAATCTAAAATAGGTAAATTCATAGAGACAGAAAGGAGGATGGAAAATAGGCTCCCTGGGGCTTCAGGGAAATGGCAATGGGGACGCTTTGCCTAATGGGTGCAAAGTGTCCATTTGGAATGATGAAACAAATTCTAGAAATACCCAGTAGTGATTCACAACATTGTGAATGTACTTAGTACCACTGAATCGTACACTTAAAAATTGTTAAGATGATAAATTGTATGTCTATTTTATCACAATAAAAATTACATATATTTCAATGTTATGTTTTTATACATTATATATTAAGTTACTATATTACATATAAGTATAACATTACATGTGTGTTACTTAATATACAACTATCTTATTACATAATTTAAAATTATATATCCTCGGGTGTAAATATATGGATAAATACACTCAGAAAAGGCTCTACAGGGTGTCTCTCCTAGAGAGGGTGGGAGGGATGAGAATTAAAGGGGACTTGAATGTCTGCTAGATGTTTTCCTTTTCTCTATATCACAGAGTAGGCAACTCAAATGTTTTGCTGCTCTGTGCATGTCCACAGGTGACCGTGACCGTACCACGCTACTGATTTGGTGGTCACAATTCAAGCAGGCAAATTTACAAATATGGAGGCCTGACCTATAGTAAAAGTCTAAGTGACAGGAAAGCACTGTGTCAGGGGTTAGATGGTCTCCTTCTTTTTTCTTTGCTATGCCCATGGTCATGGGGCGTGTTGAACTGGCAGCGCCTCACAGGGATAATGACACACACACAAGTTGTGTGTGTATTTTTTTGGTAAACAGCAAAACCTGGTCCAAGAGCATGAAGGAAAGCACAATTTTAGAACTAAGGCCTGGCTTCCCTCTTCTCTCTCCAGACACGGCTCAGTTCCTTCCACTGAGCTTGTCTGGCTGACCCTTCCATGTTGCTGTCACTCAGGGCTCTGGGACAGACCCTCTTCTCTTCTCACTTAGTATTCTCACCATGGATATTCTCATTCAAGTCCGATGTTGCAGTTTCCTTCTACAACTGAGGGCCCCATTTGCTGTCACAGTCCAGGTCTCAGGCTGCCCTAGGGCACCTCCCCAGGCCCCTCAGGGTCACACCTGCCTCCACGGAGCTCAGTGTCTTCACCCCAAAACTGCTCCCCTTCTCCCCATCTGGGGAAGAGCCCCACAGTCCCTCTAGTCACCAGGTGAGACCCATGGGGGCGATCCTTGCCGTCTCCCTCCCCTCGCCAGCCTGGCAGTTCCCAGCCCCACCCTCCTGGTCCCCTCTGCCCCACAGCCCCCCACCAGGCCTCATCCTCTCCCCCTGGACCCTCACCCCAGCCTCCTCTCCAGCACCTAGCGCCCAGTGCCTCCCCTCCAGTCTGCCTCTCCTCTCCACCCCAGAGCTGCCCCTGCCCCTCCCATGGCTCCCAGCAGCCCCCAGGAAAAAGTCCAGGGTCCCCAGCAGGAGTCCAGGCCTCTCCCCACCACTCCCCCATCACCTCTCATGACCACCACCCTTCAATTCCTTCGTTGCTGCCACAGGAAAGCTCTCCCGTCCCAAGCCCCTGCCCTGCAGCTTTCCTGCTTCCTCGCCTGTGCTCAGGCCATTCCTTCCTACCAACCGGAGAGGTTCAAATTTTCTCCAGTCTTCAAGGCTCAGCCCCAACACCTTCTCCTCCTGGAACCCTGATCCTCCCATCCAGCTGCAGCTTCCTCTGACGGTCCCACCCCTCACCGCGTCTCGTCATCACTCCCTTCCCCTCACCGCACGCTGCCTGTGGCTATTTAAGGCTTCCTACGGATGGGGGCCCGTACGCTCCGTTTGGGGTGAATCACTGGCTGTCTGTGTGCCTGTTTCCCAACGAGCCCAACTCAGTGTCATCAAGGGCCTGGCTCCTGAACTCAGAACAGAAGCCCGTTTGGGGAAGGCGACCTTGCGCAGAACGGGGGAAAAGCAAGAACTCTTCTGGGGGCGGGGCTCAGACTGCTGGCTGGCCGGCCAGGGGAGGAACTGAAACATCGATGGGTCCTGGAAGTCCCGTTCAAATACTGGTGGGCTGGGGACGGAGCTCGGGGCTGTGGGTGGCTCCTGGAGGTGGAGCGTAGATTATTGGGCTCAGAAAGTCTGAGCATGGGGTGTAGAGCTCAAAATGTTGGCCCATGATGGACAGGGCTCATAATATTGGACAGCGTTGAGGCGCTCAGAATATTGGAGGGTCTTGGGCTGGATTTAAACTATTCGAGCGTGGGGGCGGGGCTCAGAATGTAGGGCAGGGCGGGGCTCGGAACCTCCACTGGTCTGGGGTGGGATTCCCATCTCCGCAGGGCCTGGGGATTGCGGGCGCGTAACGCGGGGGGACGGGCGTAGGGGGCAGAACTTGCACGGGTAGGAGGGCGGGCTCAGAACCTCTGCCTTCAGGGTGGTGGACTCACGTAATTGGAAGCCAACCAGAACTTGAGCCGCAGGTACCACTGCAGCAGCGACGCCTGCAGCCTCAGGAATTCCTGCGCTAGGGCGGCCGTCCAGTCGAAGTCCTCGTCGGAAAGGACGGGCCGGACGGACTCCAGGTACTGAAGGGACAAGGAGGGGCAGAGGGTGGGTCACGCCCCCCGCCCGCCCCCCGCCCATCCCAGGTCCCAGGCGCACCTTGCGCACGGTGTCCCGAACGGAGGGCACGGGCTGGCAAGGCAGGGAGCGCTGGTAACTGAAGAGCATTGGGTGGCGGCCGGAGAAGATGCGGACCAGGGCCTGGAGGGAAACGGGAATTAGTGGGTCATTAAACTCCTCCCTGAGGAGAATGAGACGGGGAGACCCAGAGACAGGGGGACAAAGACCAGACGGAGGGGGATAGGGACCCAGAGGACCACAGGGACCCAGGGAAAGGGGGACAGAGAAGTGGGTCCCCGGAGGGCCTAGCAGAGCTCTCTGCTCCTTACATACCAGCCAGGTCTTAGTGGGTGAGGACAGGGCTCCGTGGGGTTCAAGGAGCCAGCCGTGGTAGGACAGAAGCAGCCTCAGGGCCAGGTGAAGCGTGAAGATCAAGGCTCCCCACAGACAGGAGGCAAACAGCGCTGCGGCGATGACCCCCCGAAGCCTGTGGTGCTGTCCACCCCTGGGGGAAAGAGGGCGGGCCTGGGCGTCCCTCCCCAGGCCCACACCAAGCCCCTGCCCTTCCAGATATTCTCTGACCCCAGTCTTTAGGCTGTTAGGAGAATATCTTGTAGAACTAAAGTCAGAGAAATTGTTTCCTCATTTGTAAAGTAGGCGCCGATCCTCTTTTGGTGCCCCTCCCCCAGGATTATGGGGGACACCAAGCTTCTAAAATCATTTCCCATGGAAATCGGCAGGTGCTTAGTAAGTGGGAGCTGGTATTTCTATTGCAGGGACACTGTCCCCTCCCAGATATCAAATTACACTCCAATGCAGTGGTTCTCAAAGTGCGGCCCTTGGACTACAGCAACAGCACCATCTGGGAGCCAGTTGGATGCAAATTCCGGGGCCCCACCCTGACTTACTAACAGAATCTCCTGGGGGTAGGGCCCAGCAATCAGGGTTTTAACAAGCCTTCCAGGTGGTTTCCAATACAAACTCAGTTTAGGAAATGATGGTCTAAAGCTAAAGTAAATCAATGTGCTTGCAAAGTTGCAATCAGATAGACACGTGAGCAAATCCCACCTGGAGGACTTGGCGAGAGTCACTTCCCCTCTGTAAACTGGGTAAATCGAACTTTTCTGGAAATGTATACTTCTGATCCTGGGTCTGCCCTTTTAGAACCTGTCACTTCACCCAAACCTAGTGTCCAGATCTTTCCCAAAGATGACAAGAATAATACAACCACCCCCATTTAGTAAACCAGCGCCCCCATCCCCGACTGGACTGAATATAATATATAGCCGAATCTGTACATTTTCTGGTTTGTCACCATCCCTCTTAGCAAGAAGCAGCCAGGAAGGAAAATAGGCAGAGAGATGGAAGGAAATTACCGCCTTTCTACTGACACTGTACTTATATTAATCTGACCCAAAGTAAGCCTCAGAGGTTACTTCTCTGTATGTAGCACATATACTACACTGACAGAGAAACGTCCTGGGTGGAGGGATAGGGATTAGGGAGGCTGCTGAGTGAAGCGGCGGAGCCCACCAGTCTGGCAGCAGCTCTTTGATCTTCTCCATCAGTCCTAGGGAAGGGTCGAGCTGGAGGAACCAGGCGAGCTGGATTGTACTGAAGAGGAAGAGCCAGCTGAGGGCGCTGGCGGGGAACACACCAGTGAAAAAGTCGTTCTGTGGGGAGGAAAGGTCATCCATTCAATCAGGTACCCCTCCCCTAAGCACCGTTTTAGACATTGATTGAGCACTCAGTGTGTACTGATCCCTGAGCTGGCTGCTCAAGACTGAGTAGGGAACAAACAGATCTGGGTCCTGCCCTTGGGGAGGTCGGTTCAGAATGAAGCGAGTACTCATAGCAATAGGACAAGGCACAGGAGCCCGTGGTGGCAGGTTGCTCAGCCTGAGGAAGTCAGGGAGGGCTCGCTGGAGGAGGAGGTGCTCAGGCAAAATGATCCCTCATATGCAGGTCTGGAGCTCAGTAGGCCTTCTAAAACTACCTGGCTATGGAATAAACATTAAGAAAGTGCTGGGTTACTAACCAGACTCCCAGGGAAGTGTGATACAGATAACTAACATTTCAGAGCGCTTACTACATGCCAGGTACCATTTATAAGGATGAATGTTTTAGACCCTCCCAACAACCCTGGAAAGGAGGCCCTATGCACATGCTTGGCCCAACTAACCCCACTGCACATAATTCACAACCACCTCAGGGGATAGGTCCTAGGACCACATTCTGGAAAAGCAGCTTACGATAGTGGGCATAAACATGGGCTCCAGAGCCAGACTGCTAATTCTAGCATTGCTTCTAGTTCTACATCTTAGCAGCTGTGTGACCTTGGGAAAGTGAAAGCACTTCTCAGGGCCTCTGTTACCATCATCTATAAAATGGGACTAAGAATAGGTCTAGATCTACTAAGAAGGCCATAACAAGACTGGATTGAGTAATAGATGTAAATGGCATGGTTAGTAATAGAGCCTACGACACCCTAAATACTACTTAATGTGATTCTAGAAATGAGGACGCAGAAGCTCAGAGAAGTTAATGACATATCAGAGGTCACACAGCACCTATGTGACACAGCCAGGATCATAAGAATGGTGATGCTGGAGCAGTAACTTCTGTGAGTCATGCCTTCTGCTAGGACAACTAATGCTCACAACAATCCCTCAAGGCAGGGACTGTCAAGGATCCCATTTTATAGATGAAGAAACTGAGGCTCAGTGGTACATCTGTCGACTTGCAGATCGGAGTTGCTGAGGGCACAGCCCTAGCCCTGGGACCAAGTTCCAGGAGCTACAGCTTCAGGGTGGCTCCTGGGGCCCCAGAGTAGAAGACGAAGGATATAGCACAACAAGTGACCAGGGAGAGAGGCAGCTAGTGACATAAGGGAAAGAGCAATTATATTACAATTAGCAGTTACTAATGCGAGGGTCCACGAATATTGGGGATACCTGACTCTGGAAAGGGCTTCAGGTCTTGATTCAAATGCAAGGGTGATCATCAAAATACTTCACAATGCAATACCAGTCAAAAGCCATCTATAAACATAGAAATCAGAACACTGGTTGCCTTGAGTCGGGGGTGCCAACTGGAGAGGAGCTCAAAGGAACATTCTAGAATGGTGGCAATGCTGTCTTGGTGGGGAGTTTGGTTGCACAAGTGTTTTAAAAATTCAAGAACTATCATCTACAATTGCTCTCTTACAACACTAAACTATGTTTTCTACCTTTATCTTGCATCTACCTACCACTTCAGCAGTTTATTAAAAATAAAAATAATAATAAAGGGAGAAATGTGGGATCCACATATAAATCAAGTATAAAAATCAAACGAATATTCATATTTGACCTGATTGTTTATAGTTCATAACGCGTGATCAAAACCGAAAGTCTCTGTGATGACTGCCCTTGTATTGTTCACCATGTAAGAACTTATTCACTATGTAAGAATTCGTTCACCATCTAATAACTTGTTCGTTATGCTTCAGAAGATTGGAGACTGAAGAGAACTAGGCTTGAGATGGATTAATAATGACTGTGCATTGAGCCTTGACCCCCCTATACAGAATTTTATTGTTGTTAACAACCATTTGATCAATAAATATGAGAGATGCCCTCTCAAAAAAAAAAAAAATTCAAGGACTGCATCCTTTAAAAATATGTGCATTAAAAAAATATATGTGCATTTTTCTGAGTGTAATTATATCTTAATTAAAAAATATATATTTATGTGTATGTGTGTTTATATATTTAACCACATGTTAATGGTCACATTAACACTTTAGTTGCTGAATTGGCCTGAGGCCCAGGGGGTCCTAGGGGCGGGGCTGAAGAGGTTTTTCTGGGGTTGGAAGTAGTGGTTGTTTATTCACTGGAAAAGGTACATCTCTATTTTAACCACCAGTATGGCTGCAGAGGTGCAATCCAGCCTGCTCAAATATCTCTGCCGTAGGAGGTCCTCCTGGTCCTAGGCCACCCCCTTTATTTAATTATAACACCCCCATGGTCCCTCTTCCTGCCTGTGGTGCTGTTCTCCATAGCACATGTCACCTCCTGACATACTCTACATTTATTGCCTTTTCCTCCAACTAGATCGAGAGCTCCACGAGGACAGGATGCTGTCTGTTTTGCTCCCTGCAGTGTCCCCAGCGCCCCAGTGCCAGGCCCATGACTAATGCTCCATAGCTTTTTGGCGAGTGAATGAAGAACAGTATTATCAAAAGCTAACACTTCGCACTTGCCACAGGCCAAGTGCTTTGCTCAGTGCTTACATGTAAGAATTCATTTAATCCTTGTGACTGCCCTGTGTGGGAGGTGCTGTCATCACCCCTGTTTTACAGGTGGGGAAACTGAAGCTCAGAGAGCACTTGTTCAAGGCCTCCCAGCTAATAATTGGCAGAGGCAGGTTTCCAACTCAGTCCTGGCTGACCGGACAGGTGTTCTAGGTGACCATTAGGGAGATTCTGTATGTACACAGTGCCAGAGTTCTAGAACCAGGGGTCTAGGACAGACATGGATTATGGTTAGATGGTGGGCATAGGCATTCCAGAGCAAGGGCAAGGAGCAGCAGCTGGGCTTTTCTGGAGCTGGGGCAGAAGGGTTTGCACTGATGGAGAACTACAGGATACAGACATTTGGGGTTTGCACCTTGGAACCATAGGGAGGGTGCACCGTGTACTGGAGAGGTCTACTGGGTGTTCAGAAGCAGGGGCAAGGAGGGGGCTCTCAGACCTAGTGGGCAAGGGCTATGGGAAAGGGGGCACCTTCAGGATTGGGATATGGGCTACGCAAGATCTTGACTGGGTCATGGGGTTCTGAAATGGGGAGCTCCTAGTTCAGAACCTGAGGATCAAAGGGAAAGATGAGAGGTGCACAATGAGGGAAGGGGGCACTGAGCTCTAGAAATGGGAAGTTGTGTTTGGGGTGCGGTTAGGGGGGCGTCCAGGAGGTGAACAGGGTTCCAGTGAGATCGAAGATTCCAGAAGTGAGCCACAGGGAACCTGGAAATGGCCTAAAGGGGCCCTGAAGGTGGATATCCAAATTCTTATAAGAGGGTGATAGCATCCTAAAAGTCAAAACACCAGGATGCCAGCGGAGGTGGGCCACAGGCATCCCGGAAGCAGGTGGGTAACTGGGTTCCCGGAAGGAAACCAAACCTCGGCTCTCCTCACCCAGAAACGGAAGAGATGCCTTTTCCAAGAGCGCAGTCCAGAGAGGTAGATCTCCTGCAATACTGGGGCACTGAGCTCCACTTCAGCCCCGTCCAAGGTCAGTGAGGATCGGAAGCCCACGGCCTGGTGCGCTTCAGCCATTTCACGCTAGAGCCCTGGGAGTGAGATCAAGGGTCATTCTCCAGGTCCCCAGGCCCCTCCTCCTGCAGACCCAGATGATATAGGACGCCAGCTCATCCCTCCCTAACACCTGGAGGGGTCTTTCATGTTCTGTCGCGAGACTCCAGTGCTGGGGTGGACGTCAGTGGGGGAACCTCTGAACGCACAGAGAAGCAGGAGGGACAACTCGCGTTAACCCCTTTTGCGGCTCTGCTGAGAACGTGGTGCGGAGATAGGCGCCCCCGCCCCGCCAATAAAAGATTTTCAAGATTCCGGGGTGGAGGTAGGGAATCGGTCCAGGGTCAGTTGCAGGGTCTTGAGAAAAACATCGGTGCCAGACCCATTTGAAGCGAACACCTGCCGGACGTTGGCACTGTCCACCCGATTTCCGCTTCCCATTCCAAAGCGGGGGGTGGGGGATCTGTCTATAAATTCAGCCGCTCTCGGGTGGCCCAGCGTCCCCTTCCCCCGCCCCCCGCCCCGGGCTGGATGGGATGGGTGAGGAGCACCCTACTGCGCATGCCTCTGCAGGCAGGATGCTGAGGCTGTGTGCCCAGGCGAGCGACGAGGGCAAGTGATGGAGAGGCCCGCGCGGCCAGCCCAAGACATAAGCCTCCCACCCCCGCAGGAGTTCCGGCCCCTTCTGTCCCGTGCTTACCACGCTGAGTCAGGGGGCAGCCGGTCGGATGCTGGAGACCAAGCCCGAGCACACACCCGATTAGAGCGCCGAACAGCCTCCCGCTTGCATATGTCCAATCCCAGTGCGACGAGTCCACGACTCTGCCGACCGTTTTCAGGAGCTTCTACCCGCCTCCGACTATCCAACAGCCATGAACCCCGATTTCTGCCTCGCGCGTGCTTAACCGGTATTCCGTCCCTGGTTTTATACCCGTCCCCTTCCAAGCCCTAGGCCCTCTATCCCCGCCCCCTTCACGTCCCGACTTCTATCCCCGCCTCCTCCGAATCCCAGCGTCCAATCCCCTCCCTCCGTTCGATTCCTAGCTTCCATCCTTCTTCAACGCAGTGTGCTTCTCCACCATTGGCTTCCCGCGTTCTAAGCATCTCCTTTCCTCCGAACCCCACGTTCTTGGGCTCGGCACTCCACTCTTTGTCTCTCTTACTCTCTTCTCTTCGAAGAACGAGGTTCAACTTGATATTCACGGTCCACCTCTGGATGTACGCAGTCTCGCACGTGGGGTATCAAGTCCCAGCGAATCTCAGTCCTACCACACCAGCTGGAGAAGGGCCGCTTTGGGGGTGGGGTCGGTCCACCACTACCAAACCACCCACGGAAGGTGCAGCTACTGCATGGATTTAGTTAGTGTGGAGGCGCTACAGCAGATGGAGTTAGACAGTCAGAGGGACTTACGTGAGGGGTAAGGTGAATGGATAAAGGGGAAGTATTATTAGGGACCGGGCTCAGATTGGGAGGTCAGAATGGGCACAGTCAAGCAGAGACTGAAACATGGAACTCTCATTTTATTTTGCTCCGGACTTTAGTATTTGTTCATTCTAGGTTCGGTGAGCCCCTGGGTCCGGCCCAGTCACGGCCTGGAGGGGTGAGAGGTAGGAAGCCGGGCTCCGGGGGAGCCCGGGTGGTGGAATTAAGGGAAAAGAAACTCGGGTTCGTGGCCCCAATACAGATAGGTAAACGAGGCCAGTGGAGGAGCAGAGATGTGCCTAACATCGCTGAGCAAGCTCCTCTGCTCTGGCCTGTTTCAGGCCAGGAGACGGAGCAGGCTTCTGACCTCGCGCCGACGGCGGCGCCCATAGCTGTGGTGGTCCTGGGGCTCACGGCCGGCCTTCTGAGAGCTTCTTGGCGGCGGCGGAGCAGACCCAGTATATGATCTCTGGCATACCGTGCGTCTGGCATGTGGCCAGGGGCGCCCATGGTACTGGGAGGCCCGGGCCGCCTGCAGGAGGAGCGTGGGAGAAGATTGGGTTCAAACACTCCATTGGAGAAATGGGGCTCGGTGGGGTCAGGGAACCCACACCTGAGGTGGGGGGGTGGGGCTGCTTACAAATCACCTTCCTATTCCACCGAAGTGGAGAACCGTGGCCGGATAAAGATGCACGCCCCTTGGGGTCTTCTTGGCACCTTGCCCCTGGCACCACCAGCCTTTCTCACCTGCCTGTAGTCTAGGTCCCCTGGGATACAGGAGACGAGGGGCAACAGCAGGAGGATGTGGGCAGTCGTCGTGGGTCAGGGCACAGTCGAGGAAACCGGTGGGTAAAGTGGTTCCACTGGGGTGCTGCCCCGCTCCTTCTCACTGCCCAAAAAGCTCAGCGCCCGCTTTAGCGGGGGGAAAATCAGGGTCAGTCCCCACTTTCCAGGTGGGGAAAACTGACGCCATAAGTCTGGATAGACAGCTAAAGTGCCCCGGAGAGGCCTCCGGAAACGCGACCCCTCTAAGGTGGAGCAGCTGACACCTGCAGGTGGTGACATTGCAAAGCGCTGCCAGTAAGGGGTGGGGGCAGGGAAACTGGGTTCCAGTATAAATTTGACCTCGTCAACCCCTCAAGGACCTAGCCAGCAGTTAGGTAGTGGGACCCTGGAGTCTCAGGGGCCAGGCAACTTTGAGAGACAGGGCTGGCTGGGCCAAGTGGGACAGACAAACCTGGGTATGTGGACCGAGTGTCTGGGCCCTAATGTGCCTGGTGCTGACACCATCATGGAAGAGGAATGGGTGTAGATACACGAGGTGCCTGATGACCCTGGGCTCCAGCTGTACTGGAGGGGAGAATGGTATTTCTGACGGGCGTGTGTGGGCAGCGTGCTGGAGCAACAGGATATATGCACAGGGCCGGGGGATGGGGGAATGGGGGAGGGCAGGTGGACACCATGCCTGCAGCAAAGGCTGAATAGACCACTGCCCCTGGAGAGTTCTGAAAGTTAGCATAACTCGGGGTCCACCTCTGTAAAGTGGGGCAGAAGACCCTGCGCTACAGCTCCCACCCCAAGCTCCAAGCTGGGCTGGGGCAACAGGAACTGCCCCCATCAAGGGATTCTATCCCCCCAACATACCCCACAACCCCATTTCCCCAGCTATAGAAGGCAGGGCAGTAGTCACTGCCAGTCAGCTGGGGCCTGGCCTTGGAGGGTCCTGGACAGAAAAAAACAGCCGAAGAGAGGAAAAGAGTGTGGTCCGGGAGGCTTGTGAGCTGGCTTTCTGGGAAGCATCAGGGCCCAGCCATGCTGGGAACCTACACCCCCAACCCTCCTCCTGGAGCCCGGCAGGCCAACTGGGAGCAAGAGCCCTGCCCAGTGGAGCCTAGAGGCAACAGGGCCTTAGGGGATCTGAGATAGGGGGATGCCAACACTGAGGGATGAGGAGACCCTGGGAGAGGTAAGATGAGGATTGAGACAAGACCCTGAGAGGGGGCTGTGGGAAACTGAGACCCCGAAAAGCCTGGGTAAGGGAGCGAGAGACCCAGACACAGTGGGGACAGGGGATGTCCAGCTGCTTGGGCTGCACTCGCAGATGGAACCCCAACCCCCTCCGCCCCAGAAAGCTGAGTGGTCCCAGCTGAGGATTTATTGGCGTAAATGCAACCATATAAAAACATAAGTTATGAAAAACACAGTCACGATGTGCCCTCCCCACCCCCCAGCCCAGGCCCCTAAAACCCCCTTCTGTGGGAGAGGGAGGGAGAGGAAGGGGGACCCCGAAACCGCCTAAGAATGCCAAAGCCCCTGGGCCCACACGGGGCCGGCCGGCCCGGGAGGGAGAAAACCAGGCGCCACCTCAGCGCATCCGGTAGTCGGTGGAGCAGGACAGCTCACACAGCTGACCCTTGAAGTCCAGGTCAATGGTGAAGTCCAGGTCACGCTGTGGAGAGAGGGGACATGTGAGGGGCAACGGGGAAGGAAGAGACCCAGAACTCTCCAGGTCAGTAGGCAGTAGAGGGGGTGCAGACCCCACACACCTGAGGCTCTACCCCCAGCTGTCTCCACACCCTCCCCAGAGCCGTGGCAGGTCGTTTTCAGCCCACATCCGGACTGGAGCCACAGTGCTGGTCCCACCCAAAAGCATCTGCCCTGAACCCTGACTCCCAGTAACAGCCACGGCATGCCCAAACCCACCTGGCATCCAGGCAAACTGCCCCTGGGGGGACAGAACTCAGCTCCTGTCTTTCCCACCGTGAGGTTTTCCCCCATCAAAACTGCTCCCGTCATCAAGTCAGCTCTTCCCTCTTTTATAAGCAAACCTCTGTCCGCCACACTCCCTCCTCCAGCAACACCTGGGCAGAGCTCCAGCCCCACCCCAGCGCGGTACTTCCCACCTCCTCCCGTTTCCGGAAGCCAATCCCCATCCTGGGTCCCCTGCGCCCTGCCCAGCACTCCCTGGACAGGCTCAGGGCGGTCACCAATGACACCTGCCCACAGTCCTCTCACTGCGAGCCCTCCACCGAGGCTCCCAGCTTCCTCTCCAAGTCCTCCTCTCCCATCTGCGGTGTCTCCTGCTGCCTCCTTGGTTTGGGGTCTCTCAACCTCTGCACTGCCATTTGGGGCTGAGCAGCCCCTTCTTTCCTGTCCTGGGCACTGCAGGACTGTCAGCAGCATCCTCAGCCTCTACCCATGGCTGCCAGGGGCACTTCTCTACTGGCTCCACGACCTGTAATGGTTCCAGATGGTGACAAATGCCCCACGGAGGCAGCAAAATCACCCCTGGGTGAGAATCTCTCACGTCCCTGACTTAAGAGAAGGCAGCACGACCTGGTGCCCCCTCCACCCTGCTCCCTGAGCTCCATGCAGCCTGGCACTGGGCTCTGTACACCTTTGTCCTACCCACTCAGGGTCTCCCCAGGTTGCACTGGGGCTCCCACCTTTGCCCCAGAACTGCTTCCTCCAAGTGATGGCAGCTGTGCCCGGCCTGGTGCTCAGGAGGAAAAAAGCAGGGGGAAGAAACAGCCCTGTCCCCACCCCGTGCCCCATACCTGGCTATGTGGTCCTGCCAGCTCGCCCCCGGCCACTTCTCACCCAGCCCCATCCAATCTGTTTTAATACCTGCCTGATCCTTCCCAGCCTGACCCAGAAGTCATCTCCAGATGACGTTTACGAGTCACTGTGCCCCCATGTATACAAAGGGAGACTCAGGAAGGCAGGGGTTCTGCCAAATCACGCTGGGTCCCCATGGACCAGCCAGGTGCTCAATAAAACCATGCCATGTAGACAGACCCGAGGGCCCCAAACAGGCAGAGGCATATAGTAGTGTAGGTAGGCTGGCTGGCAGGCTTGGAACTGAGGGCCTCCAGGACCACAGAACAGGCATAGATGCCCCCCAGATACTCCCAGCGCCTCACGTTATTCTTAGCATTGGGCCGCATGCCAATGGTGCCGAAGATCTCCTCGCCCGTCTTCACCGTCAGGTAGTCCTCCATGTAGAACACCGTCTGCTTCCAGTGTGTGTATGGGGACTCCGGGCCTGGGGGTGGAGTCGGTCAACTGCCTGGCCTCCCCTCAGTCTCCTGCACCTGCCCCTCCCGCCCTGGTCTGTGGCCTTGCCCGTCCCTCTGCCAGGCACACCACCCAGTGACCATTTATTGGGCACTGACTGGGGTCAACACATCCCTGAATTCCCCTCTCTCATCATGGGGAGGGACTGCTGCCTGTATCTCGTGGGTAGGGAAACTAAGGCACACGCCGCTCAGGTTAGCGGGCAGGGCTGGCCGAGGAACATGGCTTCCCACGCCCCCATGCCCACTCGCTCCGCGCCTCACTGGTGGAGAAGCCTGTCCGCTTGTGGCAGCGGGTGAACTCGATGTTGAAGTAGGCCACGAGGGCGTGCACGTAGTCGTTCCGCTTCACTTGCAGGCAGAAGGGTGAGGTGAAGGTCAGGTCTTCCACCTTGACGGTGTAGATGTCCACTTCCTGCAGGACAGGCCCCGTGAGTCCCACAACCCGACACCCGGGCCCAGCACTTAAGTGAAAAAGCTGGGGCGCCCCAAGGGATTCCATTCCCTTCTCTCCCACATCGAAACCC